TTCCCCGGACGAGGCCCTTGCCCTAAAATTGAACCTAGGTTTAAGCAGAAATAAATATGATACCATGCGTACGGGCATGGTTGCTCATGGTCTGCCTAAGATGTACCCCCCCCCCCCAAAAAAAGTCATTGAGGAAGCAGAGGGGAGATGTATCACTGTAATTCTTGATGCAATGAAGACTACAAATTTAGTGCAATAATTTGTTATTGCATTAAATGCGATAATTTTAACACCTGTTGCTGCGATGATAAATTATCGCACTAAATTGACATTTGTCATTGCATTGAATGCGATAATCTTAACACATTTTGCTGCAATGATAAATTATCGCAGAAAAATGTGCTACTATTATCGCACTTAATGCAATGACGAATGCCAATTTAGTGCGATAATTTTTTTATGGCTCCCCCAGGTGCAATATTTTGTGGAAATTGCTTTTTGGCTATTATCGCATGAAGTTGTATGAAATTTATCGCACTTGAGACAACAGTGATGCCAGACCCCACAGCTATTACCAACAGAGAGAGACTTTCTGAAGTCTCCCTTCAAGAACTTCTAGACCACACTGCAAACCGTTTAGTTCACATGGTAGAAGATAAAATTGCATCTTTAAGGTATCAGGCTTTTACTTGGGTAGCTTTCTTACTTGGCTTGCACGGCTTGCATGACTTTAGTTTAGTATAGTACGTAAGAGCTGTAGTAAAGAGCGTAAACTTCATAGAAAATTAATACTGTGTGTTTATGTGTAGTTTATTAAAGGATGCCCGACACATATGCAAATTTGATCTAAATTGCCATAAAAATGTATATTTACTCACTCTCTATTGCTTTCTTCTACAGAGAAGGTAACCCCTAGAGGACATGAAAAAGTTACCCCGCTGGCCGCTAGTATTTTGAAAGATCGGGCCCAGCAGTGTACGTGGTTTTCTAGATATCCTGCTGCTGTGTTCAAAGTTTTGTGAAAGATATGATGTTTGCTCTTGCGATTAATCAGTCCGACGAGACTCTGAGCGTGACAATGACAGAGACAATGTTTGTACTAAATGTACGATCAAAGACTTTTACTCCATTCACGCCCACCTCGGCAACGGATTTTATTTTGAGGAAAGAGTACGGCATCAAAATTAACGATCTAATGGTCCGCCATGTCGTATTGGCTATGTCTGGTAAGAATTTTATGACTTACTGGTAAAAACATTAGGTGTCAGATTAACGCGAAACACTCGCTTTGAGTCATTTTACCGTTTTTTAGCCCGCTCTTTTGCTTAAAAGCTATATAAGCGGGCTTATGCCATCGCCTCTGTGTCTGTCTGTCTGTCTGTCTGTCTGTCTGTCCGTCTGTCCGTTCCCCAAGAAGGACGTGAGCTAGAGGTCTGAAATTTTCAGGGTATTATTGTTGTCACTTCTGGACAACGAAACGGTTGGTGCAAATCCTGGCAACCACCCCTGAGTGGGTCTGAGGGGGTAACAAAGAAATAGGGGTTGGTCCAGGAAGTGGAAAAAAAATATTTTTTTTATTGTCTCCTAAGGGGTAACTCGTGAAAGTAGAGCCCTTTGGGCTAAAATTTCGTCCGTTTGGCTCTATCTCTCACCGTTTAGGCGCTAGAGGGAGTTTTTCTGACAAAAGTGGCCCAAAAACAATATATTAAGCTTAGAAAATATTTGATAGTTTTCTAAGGGGTAACTTGTGAAAATAGAGCCCTGTGGGTTAAAATTTCGTCCGTTTGGCTCTATCTCTCACCGTTTAGGCGATAGACGGAGTTTCTCTCACCAAAATGGGCAAAACAGAAATATTTTTATTTTTTCAGAAGTAAACTTCTGTCTGAGAAGTATGCGGCCGGTTCAAAATTTTCTTCTAAGCAGAAGAGTGGGCTTATTTTATGGTGGCACATCATTAATAAAACGTGTACACTTTCATGCAAAAAAACAACAAAAACACATTTAGTTTTTTGTTGTTTGACCACGTTCGGTGTCATTCAGAGTATGCCTGGAAGTATATTTAACTTCTAGGTCTAGTCTTATGTACATTTTCATAGGTGTGTTATTGGATTCATAAGCTAACATCAATAACTTAAAATTTCGGCATAACTTGCATGTATTCTACAAACTGCGGCACACACAGCCAAAGATGTTCAGCGTATGAAAAGAATACTTCGTTTGTTGAGTTTTACTTACGAAGTAGACAGAAAAGGTACCTGGCAAAAAGATGGTTCGAAGCGAGCCGCCTCTTAAACGGGCCGAAGGCCCGTTTTCGGATAGAAGATGTATTACACCATAAAAAATCAGTAGGGACGGGCCGAAGGCCCGTCCCAAACGCCGCCGGCAGGCCAAGCTGGGCCCGCTCCCTGCCGAACCGAGTTGCCGGTGGAGCGAAGCGGAGCTGGCAACTTGGTTTGGCGGAAGAGCGGGCCCAGCTTGTTAACTGTCAAACTGAGTCCCTCTGCTGAAATTTTGACCCGCACTTTTACACTCAAAAACAGTCAAATGACTAAGGTGAGTGTTTAGTGTATATTGGGTATCTTCGCTGGTATGGCCTTCCAGAGATGGTGTGTTTGAGAGCATTAAATTATAGATCAGTGTACTGAAAATTCATTTCTTAACAGAAAACGAAAAGGAATTAGAAAATCAAATGGCTCTCATGAAGAGTAAGAAGAAGCCACCCACCAAAGTAAAATCTAAGAACAACCCCACAGAACCATGGGCTGAATGGTCTCAGAATACTAAAGTAAGAAAATAGGAATCTTACATCTTTAATCAGAGTGCTAACATTGAACTTAAATGACCAGATGCTTGTTTATTGTTTCAGAAAGAGAAAAAAGATAGGTCTAATAAGTATAAAGATGCTGCAAACGCTTCAATCCAAAAGCAGTTAGAGGACAAAAATAAAAACTGCAATACTAATACTGAATCTGTAAGAACAATAACTAAATATCACACACTTTTCATCCCATCAGGTACCAAACTCATGAAATTGTTTAATCTCCTCCTCATTTTCAGGTTGTCAAGAAATCTGATGGTAATTCTGAAACGGTACAAGAACTGACTGCTTCTACTACAGAATCCAACAACCCATTGCAACCTGTAAGGATAAATCTTTATTTTTACATGAGAGTAGACTCCTTAGGGGAGACTTAACAAAAACTAGTTATCATAGACTTTTCATCGCATTTGGTACCAAACTCATGAAATTGTTATATATTCTCCTCATTTTCAGGTTGTCGAAAAATCTGATGTTAATCCTGAAACGGTTGCTGAACAGCTGCCTTCTTCTCTCACAGAATCCAATAACCCATTGAAACCTGTAAGGATAAATGTTTACTTTTACATTAGAGTAGACTCCTATGAGGAGACTTAACAAAAACCAGTTATTTTACACTTTTCATCGCATTAGGTACCTAACTCATGAAATTGTTTAATCTTCTCCTCATTTTCAGGTTGTCGAAAAATCTGATGTTAATTCTGAAACGGTTCCTGAACTGACTGCTTCTCCTTCAGGATCCAATCCATTGGAAACTGTACGCATAAATCTTTATTTTTACATTAGAGTAGACTCCTAAGGGCAGACTTAACAAGAACTAAATATCATACCCTTTTCATCACATTAAGTACCTATTAACTCAAATACTTGTCTAATCTTCTTCTCCTTTCCAGGTGACAGACAAATTTGACAAGGCCAGCTCATTCATTTCTGAAAGGGTAAATATTTATGTTTTGATTCGAGTAGTCTTTTTTCTTTAATCCAATTTAATCGTCTTTTCTAGACTGTGGACCATGGTGAAAGTGAAAGAGTGATTGTAACTTCATTGGCCCAAATCCATGATGACAAAACTTTATCTGATTCATCGCCTATCCAGGTAAGAAGTTAATTCAAAATTTGAATTATGGAATAACAAATTTTCTAGATGATTCTTTAAGAGCATCAACTTTTTAATTTGCTTTCATAGATGCCAAAGGATAATTTCTTGCCATCCTCCAAAAACTTCTTAAAGAGAAAGTTAACTGTAAGTCTGAATGAGGTAAGTTAAATTTCATTTGTGGTACCATACTCTTTTTCATACAGTACACTATTAAAACTCATTTATTTACTTCAAAAATATATAAAATCTCTCTTTCCAATCTCTTTTCAGGATTTAGATATGATTCAACCATGTATGGATGGCCCCTCTTCTCCTAAAAAACCTTGCGCCACCAAGGGAGCACCATCACCCTTCTCTGATGAAGATTCCTGCTCATCGGGAGGAAGTCAGGTTAGGCTGTTTCAAAAAAAATTACCTATGCCAGAGCGAGGTTTTTCTGAAAGTTTATTTCATGCTGATACTCATGGAAAAAACCCGGGGGCTGTGCGATGAAGGGAACCCGGCGCAACCCGCGCTCAAAGTTTTTTGGGTGATTTGGCGGGTATCACGACCGACACGTTCTCGGGCCCGCTGTGCGGCTGCGGCGCCGCCGCCGACAGCGCCCGTTCCTGTGGTGACTACCTATGGTATGTACTTCCTATCGGACATGGTCAGCATGAAATAAACTTTCAGAAAAACCTCGCTTCAGAAAATTTGGCGTCCTGACCCCTCAAAATGAAACAACCTAAGTCAGGTGCTTGGCGCTGATGACAGTGCACAAGATACCCCTGACTTAGAAAATAAGCGTGCACAGCCTCAGGACCAGGAGGAGGATGATGATGAAGACACCATGTACCAATATTTGAAATACCAATTTTCTAAAATTAACAAGAAACTTCGCAAGATGGACAAAAAGATTGATGGTATGTTTTTCAAGTAAACAAAACACTATGCATTACACTGAGTTTACAACGTATCACAGCAAATTCTTTTTCTAATTTTAGCTTTTATTGACAAAAATGGAAGCAATAAAGGCAATAAAAAGTCGAGTGCAGAACTCTGTCCGGAGGAAGAAGTCAGAGAAGGTTTTGTAAGTACAGTGAGGGCTCGCTATAGTTCCGCTCTCTATAGTTCCGCCGGCGCTCCCTCCCCGCCTGGCCTGGTTCCCCCACTTCAAGCGAGAAGCGGCCCCCCTCTCTTCCTCCTCCCTACCACCTTCCCCCCGGGCTGCCAGCCGGCCAGCAGTGTGAGCGAGAGCGGTAGAGAAGGAGTGGGGGAAGACGCTCGCTATAGTTCCGCCTCTGGCGACCCCACTCACCCACTCCAATTCTGAACCCGAGGCGGAACTATAGCGAGCGCCTACTGTACCACATATATAAGATTTTAAGATCAAATTTTCTTTGTTGGAAATGAATTCTGAATTAATTAAATCAATTTTACCGATTGCAGGTTTCATTTGGAAATGGAATTTTTCTAAAAGAGGATGAAGTAAAAAAAGTGACTGAAAAGGGAGACAAAGAGACTCTCCTCCAAGCAAAAATTGGAAAACTGTTGACGATGTGCTTGGGAAATGACCTGAGGAGATGGTGTCTTGCTCAAACACAGTCCAATAAAGAAAAAGAAACCATTCCAGACATAATTATTGAGAGAATAAGAAGTGAGTGGTTACAAAATACAGCTATGATTAGCTGTACTCCTTTTCATTTTAACATTATTTTAAATATCGAAATTATCTTTATGCTTTTGTGTGTTCCAGATGAAATAAAGAACGGTAGTGTTGAAAGTAACTACCGCAAGCTGTTAAGGCATGAGTCGCTGAGCAAATTCAAAGGGGACGAACTGACCCGAAAACTAACAGCCCTACGCAATACAGCACATGAGCAGACACTCGCACTGCACCTTGACGTAGTCAGAGGAAAGATTTCAAAGATTCTCCACTACAACGAGACCAAATATGACCAAGCAGAGGGAAAAGAAAAGGAAGCAGCAGCAAAAGAACAGGAATAGTGCTAAAAGGATGAGATAACTTATGTATTATTAATTGATAATCTAATCTAATCTATTTAATACCTGAGTAAATAAAATAATTTAATTTGAATATTAAAATGTTCAGAGAAGTATTTTAGTTTTGGTATTGGACATAAAAAACAACTTGTACAAAATAAAATATTAAAAGATTGACCACACTTTAATAATTTGTGTTATTTCCATTCTCTGTCACTTCCTTGATTGACAGTTGGTAGTCATTGACTAGTGGCACCGACAGACATTAAGAAATTTCTTGTCCGAAGTTATTTAACAATTTTAATTTAAAAGAAAACCATGTCTCGAGTCCAAAGCCCTATTTTAAGCTACAAAGAAAACTTTGAAAGTGACAAAAAGGAGGCAGTCCTAATTACCTAACTGTTAAGATTTGTCAAGTTCCACCTCAATTTTCAGATAAAAGTTCAATGTTTCAACTATTTTTAGTTGAAAAGGCTAAGCCGTTATTTCAATACTCAGTCCAAACTTTCTGGCAAGTATTTACGTGATGCTCTGAAGACAAGTAGCAATGTTTCAGGATTCTTATTTCTGAATAAATTAATTAGCTATGGCTTAACTCTGTCCACCTCTGCAAGGCAAGTTTCCCAAGCTTACTTGCATGCCTGTAATGCAAGGCTTGTGACAGAAGAAAGAAAAGAAAAGAACAGATTCCTCTCCGTGATTTAAAGAAACAGTTGTATTTGCAATGTTGCAAGTGATGAGATCTTCAGCACATCATTAGAATCTGTCAATATTGGACAACAATTAATTTAAGAAGCCTTAGCACTAATTACAATACACATACATTTTGTACAATCACCCCACCTCAACAGTTCAATGTTAAGAAGTAATACTCATTTTACAAATTGTCAAAAACAAGAATCCAAGTAGATAGATACATTGGCTATATTAGGATATAAACTCTGAATGAATAATTTAGAATCTTTAAAGTTTGTTGATTGAAGGTACATCATAATTAAATAGACTAAAAGAAGTGCAAAAAATACAGGGCCTGATACACAATGTTCAAGGTGACAGCTGACACAATAAATCATAATAAAAGTCAGAAAATTTTGACCTAGCATAGAGTTTGCTCTGAGAGAATCTCACTGACAGATGTAAATAGACCCCACACAAATAAAGACAATTGAAGATATAACATTGGCCTATTCCATTCTCAATGAGATATTGGTTAGATCATTTGAATTAAACTACATGCAGAGAAGTTTGTTTCGTTCTAGATCGTTTGATCTCTCGGAAAAGAAAACACAGCAATTACTACTCAGACTCAAGGAAGGAGAAATGGTTGGCTTAGTCTCCGTGAAGCTAGTGAAGCTGGCATCCATTCTCATTCGTCTTATCAGTTTAGTCAAAACAAATAAAGGTCTGGCTTCAATTTCACTCTGAGACTAAATCAATCATGAAAGATACTTTGTAACTCAATGACACTAAAGTTGCACACACAAAACCACAGATGTTTCATTCCCAAGATCTGGTTAGCGAGAAAAGGTGAAACAAGAATACGCCATGAACGTTATTGGGGACTAAATTAACTGTAGCCCGAAAGAAAATGATGCTCATCTAACAAATAAAAGTATTGAGGTTTGATGATCCAAAAGGGTAGTGGGTGGTAGTAGTAGAAGATACACTGCTCTCAAACAACAGATTGCATCACTCACAGGCACGAGAAGATGCAATGCAAGGTGACAGCACTGGAAACAAAATAAATAGATCTTTAAGGAAAACAAGGTTATCGCTGTCCAAATTGAAAACATTTGGTAAAAATATATCATGAAAGTAGGTTACCTCAACGTGGTGATGTATGACACACAAATTTCCTTGTGGAAGGACAGTCTAGAAGTGTGTAAACTTTGAAGACATTGGTGTTCCTTTCTCCTTCCATACTGCTAAGACTCTCCCCACAGCAGCCACAGAAGTCATTGTTGCAGTAAACGAATTTCACCACATGAAAACACAAGAAAAATAATATTAACATCTGTTATGTAGAGAGTTGATGCAGTACACACAAACATTCATTTTGGGTAACACTTTTGGAGGTTAAAAGAACACAAACAAAGCCAATGTAATTATACAAAGCTAGCTTAACATAAAGGAACCGTCACATAAAAGGCAAAACTATTATAAAGGCGAAAGTGTGAACCAGCCAGGCAGCCAACGCCAGAAGGGATTAAACAGTTCACCATGGGAGACAAGACTAGATCGGTCTGGACCAAATAGACGAAGGCATGGAGATTCAAACCGATTCTGACCGAGCGAGCTCAGACAAAAACGGTAGGTGCAAGGGAAAAGTGCGCGGACAGTAAGAGCTTTCCAAGTCCTCATGGTTGTCGAACAGCTTGCGCTGTACGTCGAAAAAGAAAGTGCAAGCGAGCCAAACGCAAATATTTCCAAACATGCATGTGTGTTTACGCGACACGCGACTACCACCTGTACCAAACCACAAACGCAGAGAGAGAGAGAGAGAGAGAGAGTGTGTCTCTTTGCGTCCCCCTTGTAAGTGGGGGGGGACTGGCCTCGAGCGTCGAGCTCATGCGGCCAGGGGAATTGTGTGTGGCAGAGATAGTGGCGTGGCAGGAAGTGGCACAAGCGGGAAAATTAGAGCCGCAGGTGAGCGTTCGCCCGGAGTCGCGCGGGGGCGAAGCTGTGCCCTGTGCGGAGTCGCGACAGGGCGGTGATGATCTTGCGCTTGGCCGGGCTACGACGGAACCATGGAGATTTAGGAGGTTGCGGACAGAAGTCACGCAGGGTCTGGCCCTTCTCGTACGTACGCCAGGCGTCGTGCCAGGCCTCGCGGGCTAGATCGCGCTGTGCCAAATAAAAGGCGGCCGGAGCAAGGTGGAGAAGGGTGGGATCACCCCCCTCACGGACAAGGTTGGCGGCCGCGTCCGCCGCCTCGTTGGGCGGAATGCCGCGGTGAGCCGGCGTCAAGGCGAGACTGAGGAGCACCCCGGCACGAAGGAGAGAGACTGCGAGGGTGCGCACCGACGTGAGAATAGCGGAGGAGCTGGCGTCAGGCGTCGCACGGGCAATGGCCTGCAGGGCCGAGCGGCTGTCCGAAAGGATGACGACTCGTCGCAGAGCTTCTCGCTGGACATAACATGTTGAAGGGCCAGGTGCAGGGCGACCAGCTCGGCCTCGTAGACGGAAGCCGGGGAGGGGAGCCGGGCAAACTGGGTGCGGAGGGTGACTGCATCGTAGAAGGCGGCGCCGACGGAGGGGCCGTCCGGACCAAGGGCCTTGGAACCGTCCGTGGCGAGAACGTGGCATTCGGCCCAAAGACCGGCCTTGAGGGCAGCGTAGACAGCCGCGAGCGACTCGACCCCCGCCGCGGTGACCGGGGCAGGGGGGAAGAAGAGGGTAGTGGGGACGGGGAATGTCCAGTCCTGATGGAGGATGGCGAGGCGAAGCAGGGCCACGTGTGGAACGTAGCTGGCGGCTGGGCGGCAGAGCCGGGAGGTCGGCAAGGCGACGGAGCAGCAAGGGCGTGCGTGCGTGGTGTGCCCCATGGGCGGCCAGGGTGTCCTGCAGGACCGTCAGGGCGGCGTGATGGGGGCGGGCCCGCCATCGGATAGGTAGGCGGTCTGCCAAGTACTGAAAGCGGTATTGGAGGGGCCACTCGGCCGCCTCCGTATAGCAGGAGGGGATGGCCGTGCAGGGCATGAGGCCCAGCGCGATGCGAATCGCGGAGCGATATACACCCGCTCGATCTTCTCCCAGTTGTCCTTCGAGTGAGGGTCGCCGATGCCCACCCCGTACTCGAGGACGGAGCGGACAGTGGTAGATGCCAGCTTCAGAGGCAGCCCAGGATGGCAGCCCCAGCTGGCTCCGGCGATAGAGCGCATGAATGCGAGGCGTCTGGTGCAGCGCCCTACGACGTACTCGATGTGTTTCGACCAGAGCAGGTTAGAGGTGAGTATGACCCCAAGGTATTTGACCTGGGGGACGTACGGGATGGCCGCCCCGTGGGCGTACAGGTGCAGGGGAGCAGCGGGCAGGCGCCGCCGAGAGGCGAAGAACAGCCAGGAGGACTTCCCCGGAGAGAGCGAAGCCCCATCGTTGCGTAGACGCTGCGCAAACTCGGTGACACCCGCCTGGAGCGTGCGGAGGGCCGCTTGAGCCGTGGGGCCTCGTGCGAAGAGCGCGACGTCATCTGCGTACTGCACGCTGTACACGTCTTCCGGGAGGGCGTGGCAGAGGAGGGCCTTGTCAAGGATGTATACGAGGGGGGACTCGACCCACCCCTGAGCAAGGCCGACGCTGTTGGTGGATGGCCCGATGAGGCGGCCGTTGTGCGTGGCGAACAGTTGCTGGTCATGAAGGACTGCCGTAAGAAAGTTGGTGAGGCGCGGCGGTGCTCCGGCGCGGCGCAACTTCGCGATGAGCAGATCCGGGCGGACCGAATTGTATGCTGAAGCAATGTCCATGAAGACAGCGGCCATAAATTGGTGTGACTTCTTAGCCTGATGGGCGCGGCCCACCAGAAAGCCAAGGGCGTCCTGCGTGCCGGCTCCCTTACGGTAACCAAACTGGCGGGGGTCTAGGACCTCCTCCCGCTCCGCCCACCACTCCAGACGGGCCTTCATCATACGCTCGAACATCTTAAAGACGACCGATGCGAGAGCGATGGGTCGGTAGGACCCGGCTAGCGACGGGTCCTTGCCCGGCTTCACGAGGGGGAGGAGAAGAGAGCATTTCCAGGAATCGGGCAGATCTGCCGTGCGCCAGATGTAATTCAGTAGTGACAGAAGGAGCTGCTTAGCTTCCGGCGGGAGGCGCTTGATCATGCCGGCGGTGATGCCGTCCATGCCCGGGGCGGTATCCTTGCAAATAACGGAGGGCCGCCTCGAGGTCCTCCAGGCTGAAGTCCTGTGATATGCCAGTGGGGTCGGCGGCCGCCGCGGCCAGCTCGTCCGGGAGTAGCGGCGGGGGCGCACGGGAGACAGTGGGAGGCTCGAAGATGGCCAGAAAGTCCTCCAGCCAATCCCCAGAGGAGGGGTTGGAGGGAGAAGCACGAGCGTGGCGACAGGCCATGGACCAGAGGGAGCGCATGTCTCCGGGCGGGCGCAGTTTTTCTATAAAGGACGTCCAATGCGCCTTCTTAGCACGGCGAACGGTAGAAGCTGCCGCGTCCTGGGCCTCGGCCCAGCGTAGGTAAGTCTCTTCTGTGCGCACTGCCAGGTACGCCCGCTGCGCCTCGCGCCGGGCCTG